TGGTGATGTCTCTGCTTTTTAGTATGCTGTCTAGATTTGCCATAGCTTTCCTCCCCAGGAGCAAGCGTCTTTTAATTTCTTGGCTGCAGTCCCCATCTGCAGTGATCTTGGAGCCCAGGAAAATAAAATCTGTCGCTACCTCCATTTCTTCCCCATCTATTTGCCAGGAAATGAGAGGACCAGATGCCATGATCTTAGTTTTCTTAATGTTGAGTTTCAAGCCAACTTTTGCATTCTCCTCCTTCACCCGCATCAAGAGGCTCTTTAGTTCCTCTTCACTTTCTGCCATTAGAGTGGTATCATCTGCATATCTGAGGTTGTTATTTCTCCTGGCAATCTTAATTCCAATTTGTGACTCATCTAGCCCCACCTTTCTCATGATGTGCTCTGCATATAAGTTAAATAGGTAGGGCGACAGTATACAGCCTTGCCGAACTCCTTTCTCAATTTTGAACCAATCAGTGGTTCCGTGTCCAGTTCTCACTGTTGCTTCTTGACTCGCATATAGGTTTCTCAAGAGACCAACAAGATGGTCTGGTATTCCCATCTCTTTAAGAACTTGCCACAATTTGTTGTGATCCACACAATCAAAGGCTTTAGCATAGTCAATGAAGCAGATGTTTTTCTGGAATTCCCTAGCTTTCTCCACGATCCAGTGTATGTTGGCAATTTGATCTCTAGTTCCTCTGCCTCTTTGAAATCCTGCCTGTACTTCTGGTATTTCTTGGTCCACATACTGCTGGAGCCTAGCTTGTAGGATTTTGAGCATAATTTTGCTAGCATGTGAAATGAGTGCAATGGTTCGGTAGTCTGAACATTCTTTGGCATTGCTTTCTTTGGGATCGGAATGTAAACTGACCTTTTCCAATCCTGTGGCCACTGTTGAGTTTTCCAAATTTGCTGGCATATTGAGTGTAGCAATTTAACTGCATCGTCTGTTAAGATTCTGAATAGCTCAGCTAGTATACTGTCACCTCCACTAGCTTTGTTGTTGCTTAGACTTCCTAAGGCCCATTTGACTTCACATTCCTGGATGTCTGACTCAAGGTCAGTGACCACCCCATCGTGGTTATCAGGGATGTTAAGCTCTTTCTTGTATAGTTCTTTTGTGTAACCTTGTCACCTCTTCTTAATCTCTTCTGCCTCTGTTAGGTCCCTGGCATTTTGGTCCTTTATCATGCCCATCTTTGCATGAAACATTTCCTTCATATCTCCAATTTTCTTGAAAAAGATATCTGAAGAAATACCTCCTGTCATATTTGCCTCCCCAAATATTAAGACTCTCCTCCAAGCTTGTGGGTGACTGACCATAGGCAACACCGTCTTTACAGTGGTGGTACCCCATTTTTGAAACACTTTTCTGAGATAACCTTGCCTGACACCTATTTTATCATCTTTTTGATGCCAGTTGAAGAACTTTTTATCCTCAGGAATTTTAATAACTGCTTTTAGTGCTCTTGATATTATGTTCTGCCACTGGTTTTAATTTACTTTTGTTGTGTTTTTATGCTCCACTACTTTTACCTTAGTTTTACTTTGGGCTGTTTTTACTCTTTTAATACACATAATACATGTTATTAACATATTGCACAACTGTCCAGAGAAATTTAGTTATTCGGTAATTTAAATGTATGTAAATAAATTTAGCAGATAATATTGAAGGAAAAATCTCATTAACCCTATGTCTAAAGGAGTCAAGAAATGCAACAGTAACCACAAAGCAAAATGGTCCTCTAGAGTTACAAGAACTAGTTAACCACCACAAATAGCCTGTTTTAACTAATTTGTATAACACTTGGTAGAAAAAAATGAAATGGCATTCATACTAAGTTTGATGCCATGCTTGAGAGAGGTCTGGTGGATACAGCTTTGGTCCCTGCTTGTCCAATTATACTGGGTCCTTTTCAGTTTGTACTGGGCAAAGATATGGACAGGATTGTTGGGAGGCCTGAGGCCTACCACTTGTTTGGTGAACACTTGCCCTTCCTGCCTTATAATAAGGGGTGAGGGGAAAATTATTGACTGGGTACAAGTACCACAGGATGCCTCTTCACAGCAATATAGGATTCCATCTTGCCTTAAAGAGGCAATTGTAAAAACAAGAATGTTGTTCTTGCATTTAAACCTCCTGAACTCTTGAATAATTCTGGCCAGTCTCCAATCAACCATTCTCAGGCGAGGTACTGCAGTATATGTTATGTTAGTGTCTCAGTTCTAGGATTTCGGGATGAGGAAAATTATCTAGATTCATTTCAAGTCAGCCTGAAACTGATTTGGTCATTTTGGTGGACAATCCACAAACACACCTGTTGGTTCTGCTGGAACTCTCAGCGGTTTTCAATACTATCAATTATGGGTTCCTTCTGAGGTGTTTGTCTCAGATGGAACTGAGAGGTACTAGTATAAGGTGCTTCTGATTCATCTTGGAGAGGCGATTTCAAAAAATGTTCCTGAGGGATTCTGGTTGAGTAACACAGCCACTGGACTGTGGTGCAGTCAGAGTTCTACTGTATCTGCATGCTGTTCAACATGTACATGAAACTGTTGGGAGAGACTGCCCAGAGTTTTGGTATTCAGTACCACTGATAACTCACAGCTCTCTCTCTCCTTTCCATCTAAATCCAAGGAATCTGTTTATTGAATCTTAATTCAAACAAGGTGGAGGGTGCTCTTGCTTACCTGAAAGGCAGAGTAGGGAATAGGGACTCAGCTTATGCTGGAGTTATACTACCACCAAAAGGCCCACAGTTTATGTACAGTCCTAGATTAGGCTCTGAACCTGAATGAACAAGTTTTGGTGATGGCTAGAAATGTGTTTGCAGAGCTGAGACTAATGTACCAACTGCACCTGTTCCTGAAGATGTATGATCTTGTCATAGAACTTATGCCTTCATTATATTTCATTTGGACTAACATGATATGAGAGCCAGTATAGTGTAGTGGTTAAGAGCATGGGACTGGGACTCAGACGATCTGGATTCTAGTCCCCGCTCAGCCATGGAGCCAACTGGGTGACTTTGGGCCAGTCACAGACTCTCAGCCCAACCTACCTCACAGGGTTGTTGTTGTGGGGATAAGGTGGAGGAGGAGAATGATGTAAGCTGCCTTGAGACCATTGTAGGAAAAAAGGCAGAATATAAATCGAAAAATAAATAAATAAATAAATATGCTCTATGTGACACTCATTTTCAAAGCTGTTCAGAAATTGCAGCTGGTTTAGAATGCTGTAGAAAGGTGATCAAGCAGAACAGTCACAGAAAGCACATTATTGCCATTACCAAAGCATCATTGGTTACCTGTGTATTTCTGGGTACAATTTAAAGTGCTGTTATAGCCTATAAAGTCCTATACAGCCTCAGACCAGGCTATCTAAAAGGCCCCCATCAACAGTGGTACCTCAGCTCACGAACAAATCGGGTCACAAACAAAAATTTCATTAAAATTTTGACTTGGTCGCAAACTCCGCATTGGGTGGCAACCAAGATCACAGCCATCTCCCCCTCCCCAAGTGGAGAGATGGCCACGATCGCAGTTGCTTTCGTGCAGGGAAGGCGTGCGTGATCACAGGTGTACTCCTGCACAAAAGATGGGCACATTCTGAGCCATCTCCCCCACGGCTGAGCTGTGCTGCACCCCTCTTTCATGCAGCAGCACATCCATGATCATGCTTGTG